AACAGGCCACAGAGCAACATATTACTCGTGGGAAATTAAAGATAATTTAGTTTAAATATTTCTACAAAGAAAGCGACTGACTATTATATTATACTATTATATTATACTAGCTTTTTACCCGCGGCTTCGCTCGCGTGCGCTTGAATTTAGGGACATCATTAAATGCTGTTCCGTGTCAAATTTAGAAATATTCGATCACTTTTAGAGTCACCTTGGTGTCTATGTCTCTATGTCTGTCTGTTTTTTTCATTCTAAAATACTATTAGACGTAGATGATTGGTAACATGCTACAGAAACACGTGAATATACTTATAATATGTCTAGAAACTCCTACTATTTTTTATATATGGCGTGTCTTCCGATTCCGATGTATCCTTAGAAAGGTAAATAGTCTTGAATTCGAAATGTATTATTATTACTTACATTTTACTCTTTACATATATATATTCATAGTTAAAGTAAATTTAGTTTTAACAAAGTAATATAATGTTTATTTGAGACATTTTATTCATATCATTGGTCCTATTTAATATTGATTGGCACCATAAAACGATATAGATATTTTTATTTACTTCGAGTAGACTTGAAAATTTCATAAATACAGTTCTATAATAATGAATACCACACATGGATTAAAACTAATGTTACGGGTTTTTTACGCATCTTGACTCCATACCGAATGAAAGCACCGAAGCTCCGGGAAGTCTAAAGTATGTAAACATGTTTAATATCGTCCCAACCATTATATACAACAAATTCTTGCAATAGAACACCGAATCCTACCAATAATGATTCGCGAGGCTATTGAAATTAAAAATATCCTAATTTTAATAGGGAAGATGGCTGAGTGCTATTATCTGCTAACGACTCCGTGATTAATAAAATAAAATTCAAACTACTACTGCATTTTAACTATTCTATTTTAACTATGACATCAGGTCGTCCAACACCTCAGTTCTCCCAGACCTCCCGTGACCATGGGTGCTATAAATTGCCCAAACCATCGGGAATTTAAAAAGTTAAAATTAAACGCGATAAAATACTTTAAATTACTTTTATTCTTGAATAAAACTATTTTTACGGATTTTATCGCGTTTAATTAACTTATTTTATATTCCCGACGTTTCGGTTGCTTTCCAGCAACCGTGGTCACGGGGGACTGAGGTGATTGACGTCCCGATGTCAAAGTTAACCCGGAGTACCTTCAGCTTTTTAATTATTAATTTTGGTCCGATCTACGCAGAATGAATTAACTGTGTCTTGAAGTCTTGCTGTGGTATGCTTGGGTTTAGTTTTAATTTTATGAATTACAGGATCCCAAGCAGGTGGTAGTACCCAGCCTACCTCTCTATTGAAATTAGGATGTTTTTAATTTCAATAGCCCCACGTATCATCCTTGGCAGGAATCGATGTTCTTTCGCGAGGACTTGTGGTTTATCAAATCTAATGTAATGACGGGGGCCGTCTAGGATATGATCACAAACTGCAGACTTCCAGGAACGTTGGTGCTTCACGTCAGCTATGTGTTCTTTTACGCGGGTTTTTATTGATCGTTTTGTTTGCCCTATATGTAATTCATAAAATTAAAACTAAACCCAAGCATACCTCTGCAAGACTTCAAGACACAGTTAGTTCATTCTGCGTAGATCGGACCAAAATTAATAATTAAAAAGCTGAAGGTACTCCGGGTTAACTTTGACATCGGGACGTCAATCACCTCAGTCCCCCGTGACCACGGTTGCTGGAAAGCAACCGAAACGTCGGGAATATAAAATAAGTTAATTAAACGCGATAAAATCCGTAAAAATAGTTTTATTCAATGTGTAGTGTTCGCGTAAATATAAGAAATCATTACTTTTATTCTTTATAAATTTTATACACAGTGAACGTAAGGAACACTACACTCATGAACGGGAGTAGAAAAATGTTCGCACTGTTGTGGCGGTGAAAGAAAATCCAACACATCATATCGTCCCGTCGTAAGAGGCGACATAGGAAAAAACAGTAGATGGGATGATCTGCATATATAATAAGCTATCAGCGCCGCTAGCGGTGAAAAACGATAATGATATCGTCATATGCCAAATTATGAAATAGCAACGTTGTTTTTAGTTACTAATAACTTCAAAAGATTTCTATTCATTGATTTGGTCAAGCTATATAATGACACGGTCATCAAATAGTGTTAAATACACATTCATTTCAGTCATTTTTTCAGTGTTTTCACGGAATGATAGACTACTTTATGATATATGATCAATGCTACGATCTGGCCACGACATACATAAAAATCTCTTTAATAAAACTATGATGATAATGAAAATTCTGCAACAATTGTACACAGACCAGTTTTTATCACTTTACATGTATATTAGTAATTGAAATAAATACCTTATCAATTTTCATATTTTTGATAGACATCACTATTATCTATTGAAATTATTACACTTTTAAAATAAAATAACAAAAATACTAAAAAACTGAACGTTACAATTTTTTAATAATTTTAAAAATCTAATAATTTAATCATATAAATGTAAGTTATTTATATTATTTCATTTATTAGTAACTGAAGGCAAAATATACAAATTTTTTCATTTGATGATAGATGGCGCTGTTTTAAATACGAAATCGGTGTAGTTTCAAATTATTTTACCAAGATTATAACTATATTTTAAACTTTATTTACAAATATGGTAATATGGTATTTATTTGAAAAACACCCGTCATTCCGCCTATAACTAAGATACAACAGAAAATTTACATCTAAAGGAAATTAATATACTTAACCTTCCTTTTTTGAAGTTCCGTAATCGGATAAAAAGTAGCCTATAAGTTGCCCCGGGTTACTGACTACCTTCATACAAAATTTCATGTAAATCGGTTCAGTAGTTTTTGCGTGAATCCGGAATACACAGACAGACAGACAGACAGACAGAAAGACAGACAGACAGACAGACAAAAATTCTAAAAACCACTAATTTGGCTTCAGAACCCTTTATTTAGTCCATTGGACTTGTTTTTTCAAGAACATATTAGAATTACAGACACGACTTTTCTACAGATTTATTATATGTATTATACTATTATATTATATTATATTATACTATTATATTATATTATACTATTATATTATATTATATTATACTATTATATTATATTATACTATTATATAATATTATACTATTATATAATATTATACTATTATATTATATTATACTATTATATTATATTATACTATTATATTATATTATACTATTATATAATATTATACTATTATATTAAATTATGATCCATTCACGACTAACGTCGGTTTTAATAAATACCCCGTCCTGCAACGCACAGGAAAAAAGGCATTTATATATCCCCATTTATGTGTTTTAAAAGTATATAATATTGTAGTTTTATATGATACTTTTTGCAATATTATAATGATATTTAATTAAAAATATTATGTAAGTTTAAAGTGTCACTCAAGATATATTTTCTGTGTGTTGTTCTATAGTTCTCATTCTTTTCCTCCCTCTTCCTCTTTTTTGGCGAGAATTTAGTGACCGTTGTGTATTCGTAGTATGATTTGTGTTAGATGAGTCCGGTGCGATTGATGATTGTTGTGTGTCCGTTGTATCTGATGATTGTTGCATGGTTTGTATGTGTTTATCTTGGATGTTTAGTGAATGTTGTATATTTGATGTGTCTGCGGTGTGTATTGAATCCGTTGTGCTTGGTGACTGCTGCGTATTTGATGACTGTTGGGTGTTCAGTATATGTAGATGGTCTTGTTGATTATGTACGAATAAAGTGTCACCTAGCACTTTGGTGAGTATAGTTGACGTGTGAATAGCTGCTTGTTTTTGAAGGATGCTAATGTTAATATGGCTATCCAATTTATCTATGTATTTCTTGATACTTTTAGCTACTACTCATGTTGCTCCTATTACTATGGGAATAACAATGGCTTGTGTGTTCCACAGACGACTAACTTCAGGTAACTAGTCTGATGGTACAGTTATATCTATTAAAAATTATTTATTACTAGTTTTATCAATATATATTAAATCAGGCCTATTGTCTGTTACAGTAATATCAGTTTGGACGGGCATTTCCCACATGATTTTAGCAAACTCATTTTCTTTAATTTGTGGCCGGATGAGGGTTTCTTTCCACCAAAGGTTAGAAACTTCTATTTTGTTCTTTTTAGCCAGACACCAATAGACATACTGGACAAGGTTATCATGTCGCTTTACATAATATGTCCCTGCTAGTTTGTCGCATCCGGATATTATGTGCTGTGTGGTTTCTTCTTTACAGGAACAGAGACGACATTTTCCATCGACTGGCTCTTTTAATATATCACGTTGATGTTGCCGCGTAATAATTGCCTGGTCTTGTATTGCAAATATTGATGAATCTATACTTGGAGATACCTGTTGCTTTTTAAACCATTTATACGAAAGTTCTATGTCTATATTGGCCTGATCTAATACTTTTTTAGGAAATTGTCCATGTAAAGGTTTTTGTCGCCACAGTTCATTGTGGTTCTTAATTATTGCCATTTTAATCTCTTTGTCCGTATAGTTTGTGTTTCCTAGTGGTAAGTGTAATTCTCTATCTATCTCTTGTGCTTCTTTTATTATTGAATATTTGTCCCTACGTGTATCGTGTTGCATTATTATTTTAATAAGATAATCGCGTTCTGTTTTCAAATATTGCTTATATTTAACTATTTGTGCTTTATACGTGTACTCTATATTTGTCAGGCCTCTTCCTCCTTGTGTCACAGGTAAGTATAGTCTTTCTGTTTCTGCTTTTTGCTGATGTACCTTTTTAATTGCTAGTAGTTTCCTTGTTTTTATATCTATTTTCTTAAGATCACTATTTTTATAATTTATAATACCAAATGAGTAAAGTAAAACTGGAACTACGTATGTATTAATACCTTTTATCAGATATCGTGAGTTGAGATGAGTGTTCAGTAGTTTCTTGATTCTTTTCAAATATTATTTAGTTATTTGATCTCTTATGATGCTGTGTTCTATTTTTCCTGATTCATGTATTCCTAAATATTTATATCTATCTCCTATCGCAAGTTGCTCAAACGTTTTCCCGCTTAAAAGTATATGACCTTCTCCTATTGCATTGCTTATATATCCAGAACTCAGGTGTATTATTTTGCACTTGTCTAGTCCAAATTGCATTCCTATGTCGCTTGTAAATACCTCCACACTATCCAACAATACTTTCAAATTACTCTTATTGTTTGCATAAACTTTAAGGTCATCCATGTATAGTAGGTGATTTATCCAGAAACTGTCCTTGAGTTTATATCCTTTCAGTTCATATTTATTGAGTATATACGAAAGTGGGTTAATAGCTAAGCAGAACAACAATGGTGATAGGGAGTCACCCAGGAAAATTCCACGCCTAACATAAATCGGTTCCGTGGTAACTGAATCGTGTGACCCACGGGCCGTCATGATCACTCTCCATAGTGGCATAGCCAACTGAAGGAATCTCTTAATCATGAGTGGACATTTATAGACATCAAGTACCTTAAGAAGCCATTCGTGAGATACACTGTCGAAGGCTTTTTGATAGTCAATCCATGCCATACTCAGGTTTTTTTGAGCTTGATGTGCATCCTCTAATATGGCCTTATTAACCATTAGATGGTCTTTACATCCCCTGGCACCACGGCGACATCCCCGCTGCTCTACGGCCATTATGTTATTTTTATCGCAGTGGTTATACAATACGTTGGCTAATACGGAAGTAAGTAATTTGTACATACTCGGTAAACATGCTATTGGTCTTCAGTTCTTTGGGTTTTCGGTGTTTTCATTTTTAGGTATTAATATTACTTGTCCTGTAACGAACCATTCTTCCATTATTTCTGTACCTGAAACTATTTTACTGAATAATGAAGCTAAGTATCTATGCACACTGGTTAGGTATTTTAAATAATAATTTTGTATTTTATCTATCCCAGGTGATTTCCAATTTAACAGTTTTCTGATTGCAAATTTTACTTGTTCCTCTGTTATCTCTTGTATATCTTCTCTATGAATTTCACTTGACAGCATTTCTACTTCTTTTATCCAATTAGCGTCGAAATTATATTGCGTTCGGTTTGATAAAATTGAGTTCCAAAATTCTTCCACTCCTTCTTTACTCGGTATTTTGATGTTTTTGTTATAATTGCATCCTAAACTTCTGTACAGTCTATGCTCATTTTCATTAAATAATCTATTCTTGATTTTTCTAGTGTTAATATCTTCGTATCTCTTTATTCTACCTGCTAAAGCTTTAAGTTTTTGATTTATAGTTTCTGTTATATTATTGTGATCATTGTCGTTCCGAATGTTTTATTTGGTATATAACTTTTCTTTTATTTTCATCATCCTACGTGTTTGGATTCCCTTTTCAACTTCCGTTAACTGTCTTAATTCCTTCCTAAACTTAACTATTTTATTTTGTATTCTTTTTTTCCATTGTGGATCACATTTTGGTTTCATAATATTAGTAGTGGTGTAAGGTTTTTGGTTGTTGTTTAATATTAGAGTTTTAGCCGTGGCGTATATAATATTATTTATTTCGCGCAGACTATTATAAGTAATTAAAAGATTAGGTAAATACTTATTTAATGTGTGCAGATTTTCTAAGAAACGTTTATTGATTTTAGCTTTAGGTAGAAATACTCGATCTTCAAGTTTCGTTTCATTAGTTTCCGCTAATATTTGAAGAAAGTGCAAGATTAATGGATCTTGATCATCATTTACCTCTATATTATTTGTCATCTGTTCTATTGTTTCCGCTTGTTCAATTGTGTCTTGTGTATGTTGTAAAATTTGTTCTGTAATGAGTGTGGGTGTAGGTATCTATCTAGGTATCTTGCATTCCGATTTCGTTTGAATTTAAGTTATCTGCAGGTGTGATAACTTCTGCTTCTTTTTGTATTCGGTTTAGTAGTTCTTGTGATAGTACATTTTGCTTAATGATCCTTCGTGCTTGATTTGATAAAGTGTTTCCGTTAAACTTATGAATTTTAGGGTTATTCGGGTTCCTTTCTGTGAAAAGTTTCTGTAGTCTGCCTATGTACCCTGGTCCTATTGATCTTGCTTTAAAATAACAAAACATTAATTCCTGAAGTTCTTCTGTTGACCATTTTCTTCTTCTATCATCACTTTCTGCATTATTTGTGGTCGTTGTAGATGAGCCGGCAGAGCTTGTAGGTAAATCCCTACTCTGCAAAACATCACCCACCCACATCCCTTCCCGTTGATCGGCTGTAATATTTTCGGGTTCCCCGACTCTCGCCCGCCTGCAAAGCAGAGAGCCGCTGACGGCCCGTACGCTGTCACGTCCAGCGTCAGCTCCAGACGTGCCCCGACGCTCACCCTCGGGTAGCGGCCCTATAATAGTTCTACGTAATTGTCTCTCCATCATTGAAGGTAGCTAGAGCTCCGTTGGTCATTGGTTAAGTTAGTTAAAAGTCCAATGTCCGGCCCTCACGTGGCATAGATGGTCATGCGCGGACGTGGAGTTAGACTTGTGAGGGCCCTACTATATTATATTATACTATTATATTATATTATACTATTATATTATATTATACTATTATATTATATTATACTATTATACTATTTAGGGAATGTCGCAATATTAAATTATCGTTTAATCTTTGACTGTTTTAATTAAATTTAACTTTCTCTCATTCAGTTAATAACTTAGAATGAGTAAAAACTAGGATTAGTAATACTTTTTTCATAGGCAGCAAAAATATTAAATTCTGAATGGACAAGGTTACCTGGGAGGGGATAAGGATCGAAGCCTACCGTTTATATGTAACGCCGTGTATGTGTCATGTAGTTGGTTTTATTTCATCATCATCATCATTACAGCCCTTCACAAGTCCACTGCTGAACATAGGCCTCCCCCAAAGAATGCCACAAAGCACGGTCCTGAGCCACCTGCATCCATCGATTTCCTGCATGTCTTACCAGGTCGTCACTCCATCTCGTGGGGGGACGCCCTACACTTCGCCTACCGGTACGAGGCTGCCACTCGAGAACCTTTCTTCCCCATCGGTTGTCGGTTCTTCGAGCTATATGGCCGGCCCACTGCCACTTCAGCTTACTAATCCGTTGGGCTATGTCGGTTATTCTGGTTCTACTGCGGATATCCTCATTCCTAAGTTTATCACGCAGAGAAACTCCGAGCATAGCCCTCTCCATAGCTCGCTGAGCGATCTTGAGCTTCCTCATACGGCCAGCAGTGAAGGACCACGTATCAGTTCCATAAGTCATCACTGGCAACACACACTGGTTGTACAATTTCGTTTTCAGGTTTTGAGGTATGTCTGACGAGAAGATGTGTCGTAGCTTCCCGAACGCTGCCCAGCCGAGTTGAATCCGTCGATTGACCTCTCGGTCGAAGTTGGACTTACCTAGTCGGACTATTTGTCCCAGGTAAACATACTCGTCAACAACTTCGAGCTTAGTGCTCCCAACAACTACCGGCATAGGTGTGACATGGACATTGAACATGATCATTGTTTTGTCCATGTTCATCTTAAGACCTATCCGTTGGGAAACACTATCGAGGTCATTGAGCATAGTGCTTAGGTCCTCCAGCGATTCTGCCATAAGGACTATATCGTCGGCAAATCGAAGGTGAGTGATGTACTCGCCATTGATGTTGATACCGTATCTTTTCCAGTCCAGAAGCTTGAAAACGTCTTCCAATGCAGCGGTGAAGAGTTTCGGGGATATGACGTCACCCTGTCTTACACCTCTCTGCAATTGGATAGGTTTCGTACTCTGGTTCTGTACTCGGATAGCCATCGTAGCCCTACTGTACAAGCACTTCAACACTTCGATATACCGACAGTCAACTTGGCACCGCTGAAGGGACTGCAGCACCGCCCAAATTTCGACGGAATCAAAGGCTTTCTCATAGTCCACATACGCCAGACATAGTGGCAAATTGTACTCTTCGGACTTCTGTACAATTTGCCGAAGGGTATGTATGTGGTCTATGGTGCTAAAGCCCTTTCGGAAACCGGCTTGTTCGGGAGGCTGGAAGTCGTCAAGTCTGCGCGCGAGACGATTCGTAATGACTCTCGAAAACAGCACGTAGACGCGGCTCAGAAGGGAAATCGGTCTGTAGTTCTTCAAGAGAGCGTTGTCACCTTTCTTGAAGAACAAGACCACCGCACTTCTGCTCCACGCCTTCGGTGTAATGCCACCATGGAGGACGGAATTAAAGAGCTTCTGAAGGACTTCAAGTACCGGTCTTCCACCCGCTTTCAGAAGCTCCGCCGTAATTCCATCCTCGCCTGGGGCCTTACCGTTTTTAAGGTGCTGGAGAGCCATTCTAATCTCGCTCAGACTGACGTCCGGGATATCTTCGGAATAGTGTCGGATGAGAATCGCTCTTGGATCGTTACTCACACTTGCGTGTGGCTCCAACGATGACGTGTACAGCTGCCCATAGAACCTCTCAATCTCACTCAAAATCTCAGGTGTCCCGGAAACGATGCTGCCACATTCTGTCTTCAGCTTTGACAGGTGGCTCTTTCTGGCAGACAGATCTCTGGCAAAGACTTTGGAGCCTTGGTTCCGCTCGATCGCTTCTTCAATACGAGCTGTATTGAAGTTGCGTAAGTCCCGCCGCATGCATTTGGAGATCTGTCTGTTTAGATGCCTGTATGCTGTCAAGTCTGTTGAAGAATGTAGCTTCATCTCCCGTCTAACAGCCATGAGATTAAGAGTGTGATCGGAAAGTTTTTGTGTTCTTCTGCGGCGGGTCTTGCAGAACTTAGCTCCGACCGCATGGACAGTTTCCACGAGCTTGTCATTCATATCGTCCACTTCATTGCAGTCTTCTAGGCACTGAAAACGGTTTTGTAACTCGAGCTGAAAGGTTTCGGGACTTTGGAACAGAGCACGAGGGGGACGGAGCGTTGACTTCATTAGACGAGACCTCTCCAACTTAACGTTTAGGTTCAGTGTGCCTCTAACCATTCGGTGATCGCTACCAGTTTTCACCCTCGCGATCACGGAGACATCACTGAACAGTTGTCGTCTGGTCGTCATAATGAAGTCAATCACATTTTTTGTCGAACCGTCGGGGCTTGACCAGGTCCACTTACTGTGGGGCCGCTTATGGAAGAAAGAGTTCATCATAAAGAATCCCTCTTTCTCCATGAAGTCGGCCAGCTGCTGGCCCCTTGGGTTCCGTTGCCCTATTCCAAATTTCCCTACTTTCAGCTCACCGTTCTCACTTGTGCCTAGTTTTGCATTGAAGTCTCCCATTAACACCGTATATTGGGTTTTGGAGGAATGCATGGCTCTAGAGATATCCTCATACATTTCCTCCACCTCCCCATCGGGGTGTGCCGAGGTTGGTGCGTAAACCTGTATGACCTTCAGTGAATACCGTTTGGTGATTCTGAGTATAAGGTACGCAACCCTCGTCGACACACTCCCGATCTTTACAACGTTGTTAACGAGAGACTTGTGGACGATAAATCCGACACCTCCTTGGGACAGATGGTCGCCCTACCGGTGATAGAGCAAGTTGCCGGATTCGAGGATTACCGTGTCCTCCCCCTCTCTTCGGACTTCGGATAATCCTATAATATGCCAGCGCCACTTCTCTATCTTTTCTTCCAGCTCCACGATCTTCTCGTCAGTCCTCAGGGTGCGTGCGTTGTACGTTG